TATATATAATAATTATATATAATTTTATATATTTGTATATAAATATACTATATATAAAATTATACAGGGTGTCTCTGGAAATTACCGCTAAATGTTTTGCGGTGTCAGCAATAGTTAACGAGATATTAACGTTTAAAGATAGCCGAATACACGTGTCCGCCCGACCTACTGTTGCCGAAGGTACGGCCTACCGGCGCGCGGGCCGCAAGGAGTGGGGATGGCTTTTAGAACATATATAAATGGAAGGGGCATAGGGCGCTGAACGTGAAGCCACATCTGTGCGAGAGAGAAAGGTAGTAAGGGATAAATGTTCGCAATGCGCATGCGCAGCACCGTCATCTGTGTGAATTGTGCAGTTGGTTTAGTGTTTTTACACATTCGTACATTACATAGTGTGTAAAACGCGATGCTGCGCATGCGCATTGGAAACATTTATCCCTTACTACCTTTCTCTCTCGCACAGACGTTTGCATCAGCGCGAGACATGGGAAGTATAGGCAATGCCCGTTCCATTTATATATGTTCTAAGGGATGGCCTAACAGGCTCTAAGCTCGAACGGCGCGGCGCGTCTGCTAGGCCATCCCTAGAGTCCCTATAATAAGAGTCAAGACATGAGGGGCGATGCCCTCGTGATTGGTCGCCGTCATTTCTAGGCGCTTTCGATGTGTTAGTGAATTGGTGTGAGCAACTGTTTCATGGTGCAGTAGTACAAACAGGCGCGAACGCGTTTATTTGTGCCACGCGTTATTTGTGCTGTTTCCGGCCGACGCCCAGCAATGGCATCCTTCCGGTCTTATGTCTTGACTCTTATTATAGGGACTCTAGCCATCCCCGATCCTCGCGGCCCGCGCGCTGTCCGCTTGGTGAGCCGTACCTTCGGCAATAGTAGGTCGGGCGGACGCGTGTATTCGGGGCTATCTTTAAATGTTAATATCTCGTTAACTATTGCTGACACCGCAAAATGGTACAGGGCTTTTCGACTCAGTATAGTCTGTTCTACCCACGCACCAAACATTTGGCGGTAATTTCCAGAGACACTCTGTATAATTTTATATCCGACCTTTTTTGCCAATCACTTTTGTGTAAATAGAGTGGACTAAACTGAGTCGAAAAGTCCTGTACCATTCTGCAATTTTCGTAATAGTTAACAAGATATTATAATTACTAAAAATTGCAAAATATTGGTCTTTAATAATTTTTTACTCAAATACTATCAACTTTACAGAAAAACT